GGCTTAAGGTTGACGAGCAGTTTGTAAATTTTATTTTAATTTCTTTCTAATTCACAAATTGTTCAAGCAATGCAATTTAAAAACTTTTTTTTTTGATTTAGTTGATTGTACTAATGATTTACAACAACTCTTTTGCTTCTCAGCAGCGTTTTTTCCTTGAAAATCATGTTATATTTCTTCTTCTTTTTATTTTAAGGTGGTTTACAGGTGTAACATTTTTATCCAGTTTTGAATACCTCAAAGCTTTGACGTTATATTGGGGTTTACTGTGTCTATTTATTGAATACAAAACTCGGAAAAATAAATAGAGACTTAAAGTTTTCTAAAACAGTAAAGGATGAATGTTGACGATGCGTGGGTAGTTGTGTCTGACTTTTTTGAACGTTTTAACGGTGACACTGAAGTTTTATCCTTCTGGAATGCTTCAAATAAAGACTGGGAACACTGGATGACTGCCTTGTCAACTCTTTCAATACCACCTACTAATGGCATGCTAGCTCAGGCACTAGTCGAAAAAGCTTTTGCAAGCTTGCAGATCGATCTCAAAATATTTCAGTCAAGTCTAGTTAACCCGCACACAGAACCGAGTTTGATAAAAACTGCTCTCCAACGTTTATATATTGCCTTTCAATGCATTAAGACGAAGTTACAAGTGTGTTGCGAGAAACTAGAAGTCCTTGATGTGTCCTGTGAGCTGGCTGCATCTGTGTGGTGCTTTATTTTACAGCCGGACCTTCTTACTGGGGATGAACCCCTAGGAAAGCTAGAGTTCATGGAATTTCTATCACAGCATGCAAAAGCTTTCTTGTCTAGAGATTTACTTCAGATCAATATCAAGGAAGGAACTCAAGAGAACAATACCGATAATAATGGATCAGATAATGATCACCTTTCTGAAAGATTAGAGAAGCTGTCTTCAGCACCTCTATGTGATACAGTGTTTGAATGTTTGCACGGTTTAATGCTTAGCAGCTCACGAGAAATCAAGACACTCTGGCGATCTGCCCTTGATACCTGTGTACAAGATCGAATTAACTCCCTTCAGGATGTTTACAACAAACATTTCATGAAACAGTGTACTGCGTGGGAGGAAGAAGTGGTTGAGCCTTTCATTGGCATAGCCTTGCCGCCAGTGTGTGATAACCTTAATCCCTATACATTCAGCGCACCTTCACATGACAAAAATATTATGGTATCGAACCTATCGGTGGAGCTTAACAATACCACTTTGAATGTTGAAAAGAAACGCTGGTGTGAGGATTTTAGGAAAAAAAAATTCATTTTGTACGCACGTAATCGTATCCACAATTTTTGGGATATCATGGTGGAGTACCCTGACTCCATACCCACTTTGCAAGACATTCGATATTGTCTACACGCATCTCAGGATGAAAATTTGAAAGATGAACTTTTACAATACGTGCGAAATCTTTTAGCTTCACGCTTGCATCGTGCTGGAATCAGTACGGAGGATATTTTAGAAGTGTTATCGAAGACCATCAGCTCTTTGTGTGTTCTGCTGACACGTAGTGAACAGAGTGCCCTTCTCTTTGGAGTTGTTTTTGACACACTGGAGCATCTTCGACGACGCAAGGACTGTATTCCGGAGATAATAAAACTAATAACGCAACCCAACGTCAATGTGACGGGAGGTATTGGCGATGCGCAATCAACTTTATACAATGAGGAAGAACATGGCGGTTTTAATTTACGGAATATCAACGATGACGATGAATACTGTGATAATGACACTAACTACCAACAGGATGACACACTTAAAACTTTTGATACCTTACGAGTTCTCCTCGCAACGGTTTCCGTCAAGTCCCTCACACATGAATACGAAAAGGCATTGGCCCAAGGAATTTTAGGTCGTCCAATTCACACGTTTGATACAACTTCCGAGGAGGAAATGCTGGAACGCCTGAAGTGTGTGTTAGGACAAGACGCGTTGCCGAATTGTGCCGTGATGTTGTGGGACATACAAATGTCGAAGCGCACGACTCATCAAATCCAAGAAAAAAGACTTCATAAGGTGTCCCCACATCCTGGCCCGAGATCGGACGCTGGTACAGTGGAAAATGACCCTAAACCAAGCACTTTGTCACCTGATGCGATTAGCGTTGATGTGCTTTCACTGACTGCATGGCCATCACTTTCGCATTGCCATTCTCTCGGCATATCGGTTGCAGTCCCGGACCTGTACGTGCTGCACCCTGCGCTGCAGAGCGAGCTTGACAGCCTCGCATCCAGCTTCAAGTCCATTAAGCAGGATCAGAAGCTAAAATGGATCCTTTCCCAAGGTCGTGTGGTGCTGGAGGTGGATCTATTGGATCCGTTACAAGTTCACGCCCCTAGGACGGTTTCGCATGTCCTGCCGCTGTTTGCCGCATCGGTCGTGCTGCATCTGAGGGATTTGGAAGCGGAAGCGGCGATGTTGATGCAGGGTCGAGGTAGAAACGACGGCAATAAAGACACTACGGCGTCCATACCCATCGATAAGTTGGCGAGCCGTGTCGGCGTCTCAGCCGTCGAGAAACTGTTACCTTATCTGCTTCATCTATCGCCATCCGTTTTTGCGATATACCCTGGCGGCACACATGTTTCCGTTCAGAAATACCTTTCAAATGCCTCCAACGTTGTTTTCAAAAATGACGACGACAATCATAAAGAGGACGAAGAACCGAGTAGTCTTTCACCACTTCAGATCAAGGCTATAACCCGCATGATCATATCCAAGCTTAAAACCTCTGCTGCGCAGTCACTCAGCGAAATCCACAACAGTGTCAAGAAGTTTGTGGACTTTTCAGTGCATGTCTCGGACATCAAAACAATTATGCAGACATTGTTAAACGATGATAGTGTAGTGTGTACAAATGGAAAGCAATATACTCTTTCGTCTAACTAATTTGAGCGGATGTTTTATGATTTCTTTTCGCAGAGCGTGGTCTCGGCGTTTCCGTATGTCTGAAGAAAAGGTGGGTTAGTTCTTTTAAGTATAGAATATCCTACCCTCCTCCATTAGATGCAGACAAATGAATTTAAAGATCGATAATCAAACCGTGAGGCATGTTTTTCTCTTTTCACATTCAAATTAATTCCTTTCCTTTGTTTATATCATTATTTTCCTTTTCGATGTAAGGGAGTTGGGTATACTTATCACTTCAAATGAAATAAAAAGGAAAATAATATTAGTCTTGATGCAGACCTTATTCGCTGCGCGACAAAACTTTTTGAGTAAGGGTTATGCCATTCTTCATAATATTATTCCACCAAAGGTAGTCGAAAAACTTCGAGATGAAACTCTGGCCGCAACACGGGCTCGACCCGCTGTATTCAAGGAAGTGCCGTCATTGGAGAACATCTTCCAGGTTCATTCACAACGCTCCAGCATCGTAGTAGATTCACAATTGAAGCTCCAGCTTAAAAAGCGTAATTTCGTTCTTCAATATTATAAGCAAGCTATGAAAAACAAGAGAGAGATGAAAAAGATTGCTCAGAAATACTCTAAGAGTCAAGATATGACTTTGTTATCCGGTGATGAGCTTTGGGAACTTAGTAAACTTATTGCGCAAGAGGCGGCGCGCCCATCTAGCTCAAAACATTGCACAAGTACCATAGAGAACGACCCCCAAATGTTGGCTGCTATCGATGAATACCGTGCGAATGCCTGGATGACAAACCCAGCTTTGGGAAAGATACTTCAGTCTGATGTAAATCTTAAAGCGTCACTTGCAAGGTTGTCCGAATTTGTCGGGGCTGTAGAGAATCCCGTCATATTTGGGGACACCCCATTGCTTCGGGAGGCCTTTGGAAATCCGATTGGTTATCACATTACAGCACCATCAATAGGAGTGCGAACAAACAGCCGTGACACCCTCAACGCCGTAACACTTGTCCTCTTCACATTTTCCCCTAGCTCGAGTAAGTTACCTCTGTTTGTGATGGAAAATTCACATCGCTGTATTGTGAACCAGTATATTCATGATGTCACCCCTTGTCATTTGTTTTCACCCTTTTCACCAGCAGAATCGCATGTTGCTTATCAGTTAAAGCAATTTTCTTTGAATTCAAATGTGATAGGAAAGATTGTGGATGATATGGATGCCATTCGCGCGGGGTCTGTCATGGTTGTAGACCCGCATCTATTGTTTGGGTTTGGACCAAACTTGAGCTGGGAAGGTGAAGTGGTATATAAGTTGAATATTGTCAACAAGGAGGCTGTGCCATATCTGGAGGCTCCCTCGTGGATACATGGTTGGCGGTCGTTTCCACAAGACATCAATTTTAACTCCCCAATTGTTTTCCCTCCTTTATATCAGTGATGGGTAATAAATATTTCCGCACATATATTCGCCAAAATATGGAATATATATATTTGTGCACGTATCTGTAATTTCATTATCTTGCGATTAACTTCTTCCTTGTGTTTGTTTGTGCTTCGATTGGATAATATAACAAGCCGAAAGTTGAGATCTCTTTCTCCTCCTTTTTCCCTTTGTGTTCACTAATCAGAAATTATTTTGATCATAATGTATAAAAGAGATGGGATACAATCTTTTTGTTAGAGTATTCTTTTTTTGCTCTTAATAATGCCACTGATTCTGTGTATACTGATATATTCTCAGAAATAACTTTCAAAGAAGCAAATGGGATCCTTTCTTCTTCCCACTGAGTGCTAGTCTAAAGTTTATATTGAATGTTAAAATTTATGAAGGAACAATGCTTTTTTTTTCGTTTGTGATTTCTGTGACTAAACTTCTTATATATTTTGTATTTTTATACATAGCCTACTTCAGTACATATAGTGTGTTTGGTGAAGATTTATGTCCTCATTAAGATACCGATATATCAACTCCACATTCTTGCTACAACAAAGCATTTTTTCTAAAGCCAAACTTTAGAGTATAATATTTACAAACTGTCCCCAAGTTCTGCGTCTGCTGGTAACCTTAGGCTCCTTTATGAGAAAAAATGTTCGTAAGCCATTGACCAACTTCTATGATACGGACCAAAGCGAAGGGGAAGGTCACGCTCTCTCAACTTCTTCTTCATCTACACATAGTAATCATGTAACCATTGTGCTGGAGGAGAGCTCCGTATCGTCAATATCAAACCATTCTGGCGATATTGTCGAGGAAAACTTCCCGAAGCTCATCACCGTTGCGACACCTACCCTTCAAAACCTGGAGGAGGCTGTGGTGCAGGCAAAGCGTAGGCTACAGCGCTTTGATATATTAATTTTGCAGGCAATTTGGAAATCTGTCTTACACCATTCTCAAGGGGATGGGTCTGCGAAGCGACCATTCCCCAGTGGGGGGTCAAAGCCGTTCTCAGTGAAGCAGCGTCGTGCTCAGTTGATGGCAGCGACACAACCATCCTCCCACACCCACTCTTCTGGGCTGCGTTTGTTTTCTTCCAAGCCAAATCCAATGAACATTAGGAGGCAGGTTTCTAACTCCTTGTCAAGTACTAGGCCTTTCTTGCCGACTAGTCGGTTTCCAGCAACACCACAACTAAACCCTAAAGAACGACTACAATTTAATAATGACTTATATGAGTTCATTGAGGAAACCAAACATTCTGGATTGATAAAGTCTGGTGAGGCACCGAATTCGAGCCGAAACACAGGTGTCCAAGCTTCTTCCTTGCGTAGTATCGCGCTCAAAATTGCAATGGAAAGGAATAACACAAAGGTTACAGAGCCCTCCTCAAGTCAAAAATACACCTCACTAATGGGCTCGTCAGTTTCGCTCATAATACTCGATCTTGGAAGGAAACGAGCGCTAGCGGTCTTCTTCTTGCGTTATCTGAGACTACAAGCTTATCAGCGGCGTATCCTCCTCGAGGAATTTCAGTGGCGTTATACCTACCGCCTCCAATGGAATATGCTTCAGAAATGGTGCGGTTTGGCATGCTCCCAGAGAACGCATAGGCTAACACTCTTAAAACATGTTGTAGATCACTGGCAGAATGTTGTGGCTCGCCAAAAGTCTTTACACAGCCTTATGCAGCGTTTTCACGCAAGGCTTATAGATTCTCTTCGCGACACCAAAATCTGTAAGGCGACGCAGCGACGGAAATTTTTTTTAGGTTGGCGCAATAAATTCACGAAATGTCGAGTCATGCGCGCTATGAACGACGCAGCAGACTCGTTCAGATTATCAAAAGATGAAGATCGCACTGGCGGTGGCGGTACGGCCCCTAAAACCCAATATTTACCAGTGTTTTACTCGAAGGATGGCCTCGAAGAAGTGAAAAACCCATGGTGTTCCGACACATTAATCTGTGTGTTGAGACATTGGAAAAATAAGATGGTGCAACGTCTAAAGACTCGTTTGGCGGACTTGCAATATGCCCAGTACATGAAGCGGCACGTTTTCAAAAAGTTCAAACAAATCGCAAATCGGAATCGGACTTCGGTATCTACCCAGATGACGCTTCATCCTCCTCCTTTACTTCCTATCCCGACGCAAGGCTTTGAGACTGTCGGTGAATCCCCCTTGAATAGGGATAATCGAACGACTTATCAGTGTGGCCCAATCGTAAATGTAATGCCCTCACCGCCGGAAGTATGGCACTACAAAGAAAAAATGGCATTACAGGTTGTGCAAACGATTCAGCTTCGGCGTACTTACCGGCAATGGTGGCAACATTATCAGTGCCGTCGAGGTAGTTTGCACTATAACCGTAAAATTCAACTCTCCACGATGCGTCGGTGGATGAGCTCGTTGGCTCGTCGTCGTATTGACCGTCTAACTTGCCAAGCTGTTTTGGATTGTTGGCGAGAGAAGTTGCATAAGCGGTCCCTGGAGAGCATGGCCGCTGATATTTATGTGCGAAGTGCTGTCAGCCGAACGTTTTATATCTGGCGGTTAAATTTCATGTTTCGCAGCCGCACCAACAGTGTGACGATGCGTTGGTGTCTACAGCAATGGTGGGAAAGGGCCGCACTGCGAATTGGAGAACGTACACTAACTATCCACCATCGCGAACGTTTGTTTTATGGTTGGAAAGCTCGAGCCAGTTTTCGTGGCCGCTGTCGTGCGTTTTTACTGCTCGCCGACAGACTTAGGGAAACTAACTTGCTGGTGCATTGCATACGGATTTGGTCAAAAAAAGTGAAGAACATGCAAAAAACGCAAGCGATGTGTGGAATTATTGAACGGTTAAATTTAGAGCATCGTCGAGAGGTATGTTTTTTTAAATGGAAGCGAAGGGTGTTTAAGTCCACGTCTCTCCCACAAGTTGTTAGTTTGACTGAGACTTAGATTACATTTTATTTTTTATGATAGGGTGATACTATTTAGATTTCTTATTGGTTTACAGTTTTTCCTGTTTTGCGTCCTCTTGCACTTTACATTTAATTGATTGCATTCCTTATATTGGTAGCGCTTTACTGCAATCTGAAATAGGTCTCTCTTTATAGCTGTGTGAAATTGTGTTTACCCTATATGTATTCAAACAGTTTTTCTCCCTTACCTCTTTATTAAGCCTTTGAACTCTGGTTTTATAAATATACACTCGCAGAAGGTAAAAAAATCTACTTTTTTTTTTTTAAAGCCCTAAACGACTTAAAAGGGATGACGTACGTGGTTACTCATTCTAACATACAGAAGGAGCAGGAGCGTGTCACTGCAACGATTGAGCAGTATAACACACAGCTGCAGGAAATTGACGAACAAATTCTTGAAATTGAGCAGAAAAAAAAGGAGATCACGCATCAAATTCAGGATCATGAAGAAAAGACTCTGAACTTTCATGTTGACTTGGCCGCTCATGATGGACTTGACTCTATTATCCGGTTAGAGAACAAACTCAAGATTACCCAGCGATGCAACCATTTGTTAAGCCGAGAGAACGAAACCCAAGAGCGACTACTCGAGGCTCGTACAAAAAAGCTTAAAAAAATTTCAGATGAAATCGATAATATATCGTTCACGACAGGATGGTGCGACAACGTAAGCGACACCAACGACCAGGATGTAGACAAACAAAATGCCGCTATACAGGAAATCCTGGGGGTGGAAGCCAAAACACGTGAAGAGATCAGATCCACAGATAAAAACATTAAAAAAAAAGAGCGAACCATCCTGAAGCTTCACGTAAATGCTGGGCACAATCAAGAGCTTCAGGTTCGCCTCACCCGGATTCAAAACGAGGTCCGGTTCCGGCAGCGTGAATGTCGTGAACTGGAGACCAAACTGAAGCGCATGCAGACACAGGACATTCCTGTTGAGCAAGAACTTGTAAAGTTGGAAGAAAAGACGATTCCATTATCCCAAAGCTTGACATGTATGGAAAAGGACAAGGAATTTCTCGCAGAGGCGGTGAGGGAGTCAAAAATGATCTGCAGTCGACAGGAAAATGTTATTAAAGCGCAGCTAGCCCGTCAAGAGCAGCTGCAGAGTCGCCTTGATGCGGTTATGAAATCACTTCATGTGATGGATCTGGCAAAGGACTTTGAGCAAAACACATCTAAGTCTGCGCTGGTTCCCGTTTCTGCGCGAGAGGAGCCTGAAAACGTCTCTCAAATTTTACCGGAGGATGAGCGTATTCCAATCGACACCTACCGTCTTCTATACAAAAATGGCGAAATTACGCGCACGAATTTGGCCCGAAAAAATATGCTAGTACTAGAAAAGGAGAGTGTAATCCAAGCCACAGAAGAGAAGTTGCAGCAGCTGATTGATAAACACAACCTTAACGCACGTCATGGGGATGCACAGCATGTGAATGCGGATGACCAGATCAGAAATTTTCTGGAAACATTGCAGACCAAGCAAGAGGACTATCGCACCCGTCTGGATGCGCTAGTGGCTGATAATAAAAGGTTGCGCATTGAGTTGTCGCGTAAATCAAGGAATCGGCGTCGAGTCATTGCTTCTGGTTCAAGGTGAGAACAATATTATATAGTGTATAAAATCAACAATTTCTTATTACAGGGGCTGTTTGCCCATAGAATTTTCACTTGTATGGAGTGGTTCTTAGGTTAAACAGTTTCCCTTAAATGGATCATTTTCTTTTTCGCATTATATATGTTCTTTTTTTCCGGTCATTTTATTTGTTTATATGTATGATGAATAGATATATATCGGGCAACGTAAAAATTTCCTAGATGTGGTAGGTATTAGTTTAAAATGCTAAGAAACATAGTAGACCGATAAGTGTTATTGAAGATCAGTGAATCGCATTCCTTTTTGAATAATTTTTTTCTGATATATTTTAATAGGATCGTCACTTTTTGTTTTCTCAAAATAAAAATTGTTGTGTGCATCAAAATGCGTTTCTAAAATAGTATTTCACTATTTTTGTTAAATGAAAAGAGCAAACATGAGTCATAGAATACAACCCCTTTTTCATGAAAATGGGTAGATCAAAATAAGAAAAAAATTGTGAACTCGGTGTATTAAATGAATATTGTGTGCTTCCGTTGAAATGTGCATCATAGGAAAGAATCAAGGAGGAAAGAATGTATTATCTGGGATGTGTGTTGTATATGTGCGTTAGCAAAATTTCTTTGTGTCCGATTATTCATATATTGGAAACTTCAAATAAGACATTTTGAATATTTTCTGTACTTTCATTTGGCATGTCGAAAAATGTTAAGGGTGAAGTATATATGCTTATATCATCTATTGCATGTGTTTTATACTCTGGGTTCAACAGCGAATTATGTGGAGATGCTTTTTCCCTTTTTATGTTGATATCTTTACTAATATAATTTTATTTCAGACTTAAGTTTTGAATCTTGTAGCTCTAGCGGAAGTTAAATTTATGAGTCTTGTAGTTCCCCCTCTATATGTCTAGATAATCGTAATTTTGATTCGCAATAAAGTTTTCAATTTACAAATTTTCTATCTTATCGTCAAGAATGCCTTTGTGGATCTTTTCACATCGTGAATCAAAGAATACATCGGCTGAAATTGAACCCATTACAAATATCGCACACAGTGATTCAGATGATACTGGGGATCGAAAGGAACGTCAGAAGGCTGAAGGTAATGCTACGAGTTGCTCCTCAACCTACGACCGCTTCCTTTTAACTAAGAATGCGATAAGTAAGCGAGATGCTCGCATCAGCAATCCTGATGTTGAATCAATTGAGTGCTTAATTACGCGATTTGCCAAGGAAATGAATACCGCTGAGGAACTAATATGTAAGAAGAAAGACAATAAAAAAATGTTTGAACTGCAAAACTATGAGACAGATCGAAGGTATCAGATCTGGAAAGAGGATCGTGAAAAGATGTTTAACCGGCTCCAAATTCACTGGATTGATCAATTAATTGATTCACCTTTGGAGTGTACGACTTACTTACTTCGAATAACTACAACCGCAGGCCTGTGCTACGGTATCGGGCGAACCACATACTTGTATCGTACAATGGACAAATTATACGCCAAGCTCAACGGCGTTACCCTCAGTCGAATTGCCTTCAACGAAATCGCAGTAGCGGTCACGAAATCTAGTCTAGTAGCCTTTGCCGGTTTAAATGGAATCTTCTTAGGAAAAGTACTTAGCAGTCTAGGATCAACTGTATGGACTAGTGATGTATCACAACCAGAAAGAGCGTGGTGGCACGTAACTAACTGTGTACTTATGTGCGGTATCATGAGTGGGGCATCATTAGCACTTATAAATTACCCTGTATTAACACTCAAAGGTATGAAGATGATAGTGGGAACATTTGGGGCAATTGGTGGTACAGCTGGCCTATACCTAGGCTATTTTGTCTACAGGCCATTTGCTACAACAAGAACCCATCACATATATGATGCATATTGGCGTCCGTGGTATGAACGCAGAGTAAAAATGGATGGAGGTGGTAATGTTCGTGGACGATATGTTTAAAGAAGTTCATGAGCAAGACTTTTAGGATGTTTGGTAGCTAAATTCGTAGAGTTTGTTATTGATTCTTTTATTACTGTTTACCTTTATCTTTTCACGTCCCCAAATGATACTCACCAGTTTATTTTCCAGGTTAATACAATGTAATTCGTGCTGACACTCTCTTAGTGTGACTATGTTCCATTGTTTTTATAGATTCTGCTTTTCTTGTTCTTCTCTTTTTCTAAAGCTTCGCTTTCAAATAATCTTGTCTAACACCACTTTCAATCCAAACAACCCGCAAAAATGTCTGAGTTATGCAACCAGTACCTCGCCGACACCTGGAACCGCGACAAGGTGATGGCTATTGTCCAATTTGCGCCCATGATGCTCGCTGGACCCGTCAAGGCTCTGACCGGTTGCGAGGAACTCAGTAAGGCCTTTACGAACCTGTCGAATATGTCGGACTCGTATCGTGCGATTACGCGTCTCTCCCTTCTCCTGCGCGCGGTTTCAAAAGAAACTCTCATTTCGCTCGTTAAACCACAGGGCGATGTCAACCTCGAGCGCTGCGACCAACTGACCCACTTCTTCCACGTACTTTTCTGCTTATTTGAGAACACGACGGTTCTCGCCAAGCATGGCGTGTTCTGCGCTCAGCTGCGGAACTTTGGCCAGTATGCCACCGTTTGCTGGTTCTACACCCTTTTACTGGGTGTTCTGCGCCAGGTGTACGTCCTGACGCGCAGTAAGACGTCTGGGAAACAGCGTAACCAACTCCTCGTGACGCTGCTGAAGCTTTCTTCCTTCCTTGTGTTCGCATTGACCTGCATGCCCAAGGACGGCCTGCAACTGCTGCAAGGCGCCTCCGGCCCCATCGTTCCGCTGCATAAGGCCATTGCCCTGATCACACCCAAACACCTACCGCTCTCTGACACCATCCGCGGTGCTCTTGGCTTCGTTGCCTCGACATGCGATTTTTACTAAATAAAAGGTATAACAAAGTGTGTCGCTCATCGCGCAGCATGGGGTCTGGGCCGTCGTATCAATGAATTATGGCTAAATGAACAATTGAAACGATCGGTGTTTTTAGTACTATCTACCCCTCCCACAATCTTGAATTGGAGTTGCTGGGGTTGATGAATGCACGCATGAATAAAGTAACTGATAGCATAATAAGGCGATGCTTCTGGATGGGGAAGGCACAGATATACAAAAATATATAAATATATACACAGTTTTGGGCGTTCATTTAATTTCGAGGAGGTATTATTTTTATTTTTAAGACTTCAAAAGGAGATTGACTGTTATGATTAAATATTCCAAAACACAATTTTTCGAAAATAACAAAGGAATGTAGGAGTCATTTTCCAAGAAAAATAACAGAGAATGTTTTTCAAATCTGTTTTTGTGTCCCGAAATGCGCAGAGGAAAGGAATAAATATCAAGTAGTAGATTACAATGCAAAAAAAAAAAAGGAAATAAACAGGCACACGCTGGGACATCTGTGGGAAACAACCATGAAGCATTCATACAAAGTACGTTTTTTTATTTTATATAGTAACAACCTAACTGAGAAAATAGGGTAAAATATGTGTGTTTATCATTATTATTATGTTTAACGTTTTGGTTCTTTGGGTGCTTTAGCACAGCTACAATGCAACCTATTTGTCTCTGTAAAATACATCATTCTGATTGTTCGCCCCCCGCTTTGATAACATTCTTTGATTCTTGAGTTCTCTTTGTGAAAACTCTCCTTAACAAAGCATCAAAACCCCAAAATCGAGCATGAATTCTAATTATTCAGTTATTTTGAACTTTAACTCCTTTAATAATTACATTACGAATGTCTCCAATCGTGATCGCGTAATGTCTGTTTTGCAGTATACTACCATGGCTCTCTATCAACCAATTGCCGCATCCGGTTGTCCAGGCCTGTCCGCTAATCTAAATACTATTCATCATCTTTGCAGTCAATACCGTGCTATTACTCGTTTTTCACAGTGGTTTGTGGTTCTTCCTCAGCTTACCCCGCATGGTATCTGTGACACGATAATATCCAATCCGACTCCTCAGATTGGGATACTTAAAGTTATCTCAACTGCATTTTTTACCGTTTTTCTTCTTGGTGAAGAAGTTTGTCTTTTTGCTAAAAACAAAATGATAAGTCCTGAGGTTGGGAAGAAGTTTAATCGTATCCGCTTTGTTTTTCTTTTCTGGTCTAATGTGGCTCGTCTTATCATGAACTACCTGCTGCTAAAGCGTAGCAACGAGGGTGCCATCAAAGATTCTAAGTCGCGCAACGATCACCAGCGTAAGGTACTTAATGTGGCAGATGGAATTCTCATGACCCTGTTTACTTATGGGCTATTAAAGCATTCTGCGGCGACAGGGCTGCGGGGCTTGCCAAAGGCGATTAAGTCAGGCGACCTAGTCAACATTGTTACGAGTTTTGCCCCCCCTGTAAAACTTCACGACACGCCGCATGGGATCCTGGGTGTCGTTGCAGCATTTCCTGGTTTTGTATTGAGTTTTATGCATTAGATTGGTCTATTTTTTATAGGATTGCTTTTATATGTATATGCATCTATTTGTTTATCTATATAGATAGATAGATTAAAAAATATAATTAAATTATGTTTAATATGGATTTGTAGAGTTAATGTTTGGATTGATGGGGAGTTTCGAGCGAGTTCGGTCTCCCTTCTTATATTTTTGAAAAAAATATACTTTAGTTGCGGTTTTGAATGCAACATTTGCGGAAGACGACGTTGACTAGTAGTTCTATCGTGAAGACTCACTGTAACTTGCACCTTGTAAGTGTGAACTTTGATTTATAACGAAAATGGATGCCATGAATGGGATGAAAAATGAATGAAACATTGTTTAAATCAAAGAAAACACATTTTGTATATTTCGACATTCAAGCTCATAGAAATACATTGGGAGCCAATAACTAAAGCAAAAAAGTGTGTCTAGTTTTTTTTTGTTTCGCTTGCGTTTTACTCTTTTTTCAAGGATTGTTCAGAAGTTAATTATTAACTGAAAATAAATATTCTCAATTTCTAAAAAAAATATTATTATTTCTTTAATCATATGCTATATTTCTATGGGATCTCAACCACTTAAATTAAATGATTAAGATTATTTTTGCATCTAGAGAGCCGCACATGTGACAGTTTACACTGAAACTATTGTATTTCCAAATCATCTTTCTCGCTTCTCTATCACATATCCCTTTATATAAATGTGACATTATTACTAAAAGTCTTCGCAAAATACAAATACTAATAAACCTTTTATTTATATATTTCACGATTTCTATCTCCTTGTTCAATATTAAAATAGCGTATCCTATTCAAATCGCGGAGTTAACAAAAAGGTATACTTTCCTTTAATTATTTTATTGACGTTCATACATATAAGCCTACACCGTGACCTTCGGCGGGAAGGGGGAGGGAACAAAACAAATAAATCAATACTGGTGAAGGGGAAAAAAAAGAAGATTGTAGTTATTATTTTTTCCGAAAGACCTCTCTGTGTAAGTTTGCCTTGCATTATTGACCATTGGCAATATTAGTGAATGTTTCGTCACCTGAAGCCATCTTTGTTTCTACGAAGGGTAGTAACTGGCGCCACGGCAATAGCTGCTACCACGAGCACCGGCCGAGCTACACTTTGTGCCGATGGCGTGACGTCTTCCCAGGGTATCTCTAGACCGTTTACTCAGAGGCGTGTCTATGCCACTAAGAGCAAAGACTACTATAAGACACTTGGTGTAGATCGTAATGCCGATTTACAAACTATTAAAAAAGCTTATCGAAAACGAGCCCTGGAAACCCATCCTGATCAAGGCGGTAATAAAGAAGAATTTGCCGAGGTTGCTGAAGCTTACGAGGTCTTGAGCAACACCGAGAAGAAAAATCTTTATGATCAGTACGGATCCGAAGCAGCTAACAATCCTAATATGGCTAGTGGCTTTGCTGGTGGCCGATCAGCAGAAGATATATTTGCCGAATTCTTCAGAGGAAGTATGGGTATGGGTGGGTTCGGTGACATGTTCAGGGGTAACGCCGGCGCGAACCGAGGGCCACCCACCGTAGAACCTATAGAGGTGCGATTACGCCTCACTCTTGAAGAGGTTTACACCGGTGTGACCAAAACTATTCGAGTGACGCGGCCTCAGATATGTTCGGAATGCAACGGATTTGGGACGAAAAGCAAGACGGAAAAGCCGAAATGTTCGCACTGTAACGGCCAGGGCCACGTTGTTCAGCAGCACCGCATGGGGCCTGGTATGATTCAACAGTCCATCTCGGAGTGTCCGAATTGTCACGGCACTGGAACTCTTGCGAAGCCTGATGATCAATGCCACAAGTGCCGTGGGAAGGGTTACCGGAATGTTGCCCAGGATGTTGCCGTTAACGTTCCTGCAGGGATTCCATCCAACGTTACCATGATCGTTCGCGGCGAGGGCGGCTCCATCCCGGGTGCCCAAGACGGCGATCTGCACATCCACGTGGAAGTGAGCCCGCACCGACTTTTCCAGCGTCGCGGTGACGACTTAATTGTCCGAAAAGAAGTCTCACTCGCAGAGGCGTTACTGGGGGTGAGCATACCTCTGAAACTTTTGGATGGTCGCGTGGTCAATGTTGAGACTCCTGCCGAAAGCGTGCTCAAACACAACGGGGTAATCAAACTCACAGGGGAGGGGTTGTCAAGTAATACTAGCGGTCGCGGTGATATTTATGTCTTTATTCAACTCAAGATGCCTGATAAGCTGTCTTCTGAACAAAAAGATTATATTAAAAAGGCATTAGGTTCGCCCAGTTTAGATGCAAATTCGTCCCAAGGGAACACCGTAAAGGCCCGAGTACTACGCGAATCTCAAGAGCAGTTGGAAGAACAGAAACGCGGTGTTTGGGAGGCCCGCGAAAGTGGAAAAGGTGCTGAAAGTGATCGGCGTCGGCGCAGCAGCGGTCAGAGGGGCGGTCAACATGTAGAACAATGCACAGCACAGTAAATCGTCGAAAGGGGAATGAAATAAAATAAAGGTTAGTAATGAATAAGGTACTCTGCTGAAATTTTCGTACTCCACAAAAATCGAAGATAAAATTTTTGTAGTATGTTGTTATTATTATTATTTCGATCTTCCTTGATCGACGCTTTTATATTATTCGGCTTAGCTACATTCTTACTATATAATTCCTTTTCATCTTATAATGATTAGTATTAATTTCCTAATGATGATTTCACAGTACATTTGGTGGAGTTTCGAACACCAACGTGCTTATGCGTAGGTTCACATTCGACTTTCTGTTTCTATTATTACTTCACAGACATAATCTATCTCGGTAAAATAAATTTAGTGTATTGGGTTAAATATTTAATACTTTTATTGAAATGGTAGTATTTGCATTTTCCTAATTATAGTTATTAGTAAATAAGAAATATTTACACCCCAATAACTATATGTTAGAATAATAATAAATTGAGTGTGTTGGGCATTCATATTTAGGTAATAATTGTAAAATAATCCTTAAATAAAAGGAAAAAACTTTGGTTCGTATTTAAGAATTGTGAAAATAAAATTATGTATTTTACCTTCCTCTTCTGATATTGTGTTTTATGAGAATGTCATGAGCTCAAGTCTAGATTATTAGGTTTTAAGTCCGATATAAACTAAAGAAGTCCAAACATCAATAAGATAGACACACAAATAATCACACGTGCAATTTATGCTAAGAATTGTACTATTGATTTTTTTTTAATCATACAATTACAATTTTCCTCGTGCCCTCTGATATATGGACCTGAGGGGCTACAATATTATAAATGAATATAGGCATATATTTAATATGTTGATATACTAATGATACCATATCTTAATGGTCCGACTTTCCCAATCTTACTAATCAGTTTTGTCAAGTAAATGTTTTGACGGGAGATGGCTTACCACACCCACTTGATGATATGACAATCGGCGGTTTAAAATATTTAGTAAGGTGTTTTAGACGACAGCAATAGAGTACTGGGAAGTAACTCTTGTCATCAAATTGCATATGCGGCTAGCGTCATACTCTTTAGTTTCACTCAACTTGCGCACGACTGCTAAACTTTTTTTTAGATGGTTCAATATACGATTAGATCTCTCAATAATTCAGCTATTGGGCAGACGTCCATCATGTTTTGGTTGTCAATGCCAAAAATTATGAATACTCTAGCTTGTGCTTTACTTTAAAGTAAACTTTTGTTGATATTTGGCTTCTCTCTGTACAAAATGTTGCTTTACACACTCAGAATGCTGCAGTAAAACTTCAATATCTCTTTTTTATAGAGTGTGAAGGGGAATAATTTATTACCTCTTGAAAACTCAAACATTTTCTTGAGAAAAAACTCACTTGTGTGTACATATGATCGTGTAATATCATTGCCTTTTAGGCATATTCATGACCAAGTGTCAAATTAATCTTTAACCTTTCCCTGTTGTTATCCTTTTTCTTTTCATTTGACTATTTCACAAAGTCTTTTCACGGATTTTTTTACTAAAAAAGTATTCACACCTTACTATTATTTTTCCTAACCAGTATAAAATTTTTTATTGTTGTAAAAACTGCGATTTTAGGTATATAATTTTGAACGCTTATACATAAAAATATAGATATTTATTTCTTATTGAAAAATCGAAGTGTAATTTCATTTTGGGCGAGTTGTTTATAAAAAAAAAACGACATGCGTTCACTTTCTTCTTTCCGTATTTGCTCCATTACTCCACAGACAGTTATTTCTGTGGTCTCCAGATCAATCTACAGCAAACTCCTTGAGGATCATTACCACAACCCACGAAATGTTGGAAAACTTGACAAGAACGACCCGAACGTTGGGACTGGGCTTCGCGGTGCCCCCGAATGCGGGGATATGACCCAAATGCAAATAAGAGTAAACCCCGAAACGCTTGTGGTGGAGGATGTGAAATTTAAGGCCTTTGGCTGCGGTAGTGCGATTGCGGCTTCTTCCTATGCTTCGCAGGCGATACGCGGGAAAAGTGTGGCGGATGCCTTAAAGTTGACGAATAAACAAATTGCGCAGGAATTGTCATTGCCACCTGTAAAGCTGCACTGCTCCATGCTCGCCGAGGAGACTATAAATGCGGCGGTCGAGAACTATCTTTCCAAGAATCCCACGTTGAAAAGTAAGATGAAGCGAGACAGTCTTACAAGAACAGAGAATGATAACAAACATTAACCGAACAGCGGTAGAAAAATCTAGGAATATCTTAGTGCTTTACTTTTACTTTGGGTTACTTACGTGCTTTTCTGCATCATAATTATAGTCTTAGAATTTCACTACTACAGGTACTGTATGTAATAATTTTTGCAATCATTTTTACATTCTAAAAATTTTAGCATAATATGTTTTATTGTTTAGTCAGCTCCTTGCTTATTCGCATTTTTTCTAGAAGTTTTATGACTTTGTGTTGCCCTTAATTTACTTATATCAAGTGAAGATAAATTGAAAATAAATATCTACAGTGTTAAATGTCAACGTGATTCACATTATACAATGATCTGTAATTATGCCCTACAGGTATTCCTTAAGCAAAGTGAAGTTGATATATTTATACACATCTAAAAAAAAACAATTAGATGAAAAAAAAATGAAAATAACAGAAGGTATGACATGTGTTTCCTACTTGATTTTCATATAGAATCTCTTCATGAAAATTAGTATTTTCAGCTCTATATATCTTTTTTATTTACTCTTGCATACCTATTAAAGTGAAATCACTGTAGATATTAATTTGACTTTATGATTATATCCGTACAGCTTTTAATGAACTAATCGAGTTTTGTTATTTATAAAAAAATATCTTTTAACGTGAAGATGTCAGTCTGCCATGCATGCGTATGTGTGATTAGTAACTTGCGCGTTTGCGTTTGAGTATGTTGACCTACCCTATTTAATTTTGAAACGAAGTCAAGTGGGGTTTCATTTTTTTTTGTGGGAGTCCACTCTATTGGTTCAAGGTATAAAAAATGGCAGTTGTTTTACACACTACACACGGTGATTTGCCAATTTTACTGAACTTCACGGAATGCCCAAAGACGTGCTTTAACTTTCTGGCGCTGTGCGCATCGGGGTCCTACAATCAATGTCGCTTTTATCGCCATATCCCTGGCGTCCTACTACAAACTGGCGACCCCACGAACAGCGGAAAGGGGGGACGCGCCATTTTCGCACACTGCCCGCCCGCTTCTTTTTCCGAAAATGGGGATTTGCAAACTAGCGAGGTCGACGCGAGAGAAAGTGGGTTAATTTCTATAAATGGGCCACAGTCTTTTTTTGAAGATGAGGCCTTTGGTTTGACATGCCATCGAACACGCGGCGTGCTCTCGATGGCGCACAAGGGCGGCCGAGGGGATACCAATGCTTCGCAATTTTTTATTCTTTCGGCCCCACAATCCGATTTTGATGGAATGTATACGGCCTTTGGACAGATCGATTTAGTTGGTTGTTATGATGGGAAAACCCGACAAGTGGTGGATGGAAATTTTTCTACATCCTTGCGGTCTGGGGAGGATGTGCTAAAGCTTCTAGAGGATTCTGCAAAAGGAGGTGATAAATACATTGTCGATGAAGTAAACAAACTTTACATTATTGATACAACGGTACTGTACAATCCCTTTGCTGAAGGCCGGTTGCTTGCATAAGGGTGTAAAAAAAAGAATCGAGATCAGTAACTTCTGGAGATGATGTCACTTTTTAAAGTTAATAAAAATTCTATAAGGAATGGATGAAACGATAAGCGACCCTACATTTTCTTGGATTTGACATTTTTTTTACTACGTAGTGACTGCTACTTTTTACGAAAGAAAATCAAAAAAAAAAGTGTTAGTTGTATTAATGAATAATTGATGCAGGATAAAACAATAAGTGTTAAGGGCCAATGTAAAAGGCCGCGTTACCCACCCTATTCACCAATTGTAAAGGATTACCGGCCCTACACCGGGCGGCAGCTCACCCAACGTCCATCCATCACTGAAAATTTCGAGCAGAACATACACCGAGATTGCTGGAATCTATACTACCGCAATAACACTTTCAACGGATTTAAGGATAGAAACTACATTCTTCGAGAGTTTGTAGAGCTGCGCGAAGCGATTATGGCATCCAATAGTTCTGATCAAGCTATAATAAATAAAAATAGTAAACTTCATTCCTGTACTGGTGAGAGTAGGAGCGTGCATAACCCCAAGCCCTTTTCCTGGTTGGAAGCAGGATGTGGGGTAGGAAATGCCATGCTTCCCATATTCAAAGAATTTGGCCATTTAGCGCATTGGCGCCTACTCTTGGGATTCGACATTTCCAAAGTTGCCATCAACCTTTTGAAGGATAAAAAAGTGTCCCTACCATTGCCTTTACAGGAAAAACTTCATGTCTGTGTATTAAACCCGTGTGAGGAACGTCTGTCAGGGTGTCTTTTCCCGACCCCTTTGGGTGATGCGGGGACCTTCTCATCGATTGGCTCTTCAAGTTCCCTATACAATCCTACTGTGGAATTCGTTTCGATGATATTTGTCCTGAGCTCCATACCGGTGCCTCTCCACGCCAGTGTTCTAAAACGTATCGCGGAGTGTATGGTCCGTCCAGGTGGTATTTTTTTCTTTCGCGATTACGCCCGTTCCGACCTCGCCGAAAAGCGTTTTCGATCTCGCAAGCAAGGGGTTAGCGACACCGAGACCGAAAGGAGAAATGATGTTGATGGGAACTTGGGCGGAAAAAACGAATCTAGCATCTTTGCACGAACTAACGGCACTCTAAGTTATTTCTTTTCCAAGGAGGAACTTGAAAAGTTGTTCACGTCGGTTGGATTTAGCGTTATTGAGATACGCGAGGTGAACCGTGAAGTGGAGAATCGTAAAGCGGCGCTGTGTATGTCACGTAAATTTATCCAAGGACGATTTCGTCTTGAAAAGGTAGACATTTGAATGCTCAACCTTACCATAGTCTCTCTTTCATGGGGTAGATATGTTTTCTGCATGCAGAGAAATGAAACTGATTGCAATTTGCGCTTTAAGGCTAATATATACCGAAACTATACATTAAAAGGAAAAAGCAAATGCCATGATTCAATATTTATTCCTGTTGCATTCTCTGGTACCTTTGCTGAGATTCTTACATATATATGTATGTATATTCAATAGCATAATATATATATTTTTTTTGGTCTACCAAAATCAATCTGCTGTAATGGGCGTTCATGGCCTATGGCGACTTTTAGATACCTTTGGGGAAGTAACTCAACCAGAAATATGGTGTGGTTGTCGTGTGGCCATCGATGCCAGTATCTGGATAGCCCAATTCCGATCCCGGGCCTCTTCCGACGATGTGAATAATAAGATCATTCAAGGGTTTTTTCTTCGCATATTGAAGCTGTTATTTTACGGCATCGAGCCCGTTTTTGTGTTTGATGGGCCGACCTCCGCCCTCAAGGCCAAGGAACACCGTCGGAGGCAAACATTACGCCGGATTATGGAGCAATCGGTGATCAAGCGTCAGGCGCAGAAAATTGTATCAGCTCTTCTTTCATCAGGGAACCTCAATCTGTCCCATTTGAAGCGTGAACGAGAACCCAATGGTGATTTAACCGAAGCGCTAGAAATACAAGGTCGGAGGTCTCGTATAGACCCTAAGGATGCCGCTCTTTTGCACTACGATTCCCAAAAGATCGGCATGGAAACTTCATTGGGCTACCAAAAGGATCATTTGTTTTTTAGTGAAAACCCAAATGGCATTTCTGATTATCGTAATCGATCTCGTCCTATCCGAAGACGGCGTTTAGCCCCCACAGAAGTTTCAAAGGCGACGATGATGACTTTCCTCAAGGAAGCGGAAGATCTGATAGAACAACGTAAGAAAGGTGAGCAATGCGTTTTGCATAACACATTGCGATACAGCAGCTCCTCACTTTTTATGGGTCCACGATGCGCGCTTCTGTCGGAAAAGGAAAATAAAGTTTCCAGTTCCTTCAAAGCCCTCGATGGCGCTCTCCCGGACATCGTGATGGTGGATGAGGTCGGCCCATGCCAGAACCACGCGGATGTTCTCTTGATCGACACCGAAGATGATTCTTCCGAAGCGTCGTTGATCGCACTGAGCATAAACTCTTCGCAGGCCAAACGCGAGGAAGGGGCCCTTCTTTCGCCGCCCTCGGTAGCGATCAGTGAGGGTAACACTCCAACAAAACATTCCAATATCGAGAGCGGTCCTTCTCACACCAAAAGCCGCGATGGGGCTCTCGCAAGGTCGGCCCCCGCAATGCCCTTCTCGGCGGTTTCGCCGTCCGAAACGGCATTTGCGGTTCCAAGCGGGGACCCATTCGACCGGGGGGCTTTTAACGCGGGGGATTCGCTCGCGAGCGTGGAAGGCTCCTGGGAATCATCGACCTCTGACGTTGAGAGCTCTGACGGCACCAATGGTGAAGGTGCATTCATGGCCGCAAGCGGAACCTTCGAAGCGAGTTTTTTGTGGGACCCCAGCACCCAGCGGCAGCGCGAAGCCCTCGCGGCCGTCCTTGAGGTCCACAAACACCAAATGTTTTTTGAAATAAAACCCCAAAACGACGACAAATTCCCAAGGGTGGTCCATGATTTGACAGCGGCCAATCGGGCCTCGTCCGGGACGGCCGTGAGTCGATCGGGTGCGGTTTTAGCGTGCACGGCGGCTCTCAATCGGCAAATACCCCCTTTAGAATATGCAAACCCGCCCTTTTCCACAACGCGGGAAGGTTTGGTGGGTGATTTTCCGCCCAACCCGGCGAATTCGGGTGGGGATTCGCCCCCCAAAGGGGTGCCGTTTGAGCTTTCAGGGATTATACGCCTGCTGGGGTGTTTTGGCATTTCGTACGTCATCAGCCCCGGCGAGGCGGATGCGCAGTGTGCGTATTTGGCCCGCCAGGGGTTGGTGGATGCCGTCTTCACGGAGGATAGCGACGTGGTCGTCCACGGGGCCCCGGTGATTCTTCGGGGCTTTTTTTCCTCCAACCAAAAGGTTCTGGCCTACCGACAGGCCGAATTGGTGGCGTGTGGGGTGGATAAGGGGGTTTTGGTCGCCTTGGCCCTTCTTTTGGGCTGCGATTACGCGGAAGGGATCGCCGGGTTGGGTCTGAGCGGCGCCCTGGAGGTTCTGGTCTCGTCCTGGCTTCCCACTAAACCCAATGAAAAGGAAGAAAAGGACAACTTTCACGGTGAAATGGGCTTTATTATCTCGGTCCTTCGCCGCTGGAAGGCGTTGGTGGCGAAGATGCCGACCTCGTGGGTCGATGTCGGGGAGGACGACTTATCGCTCCTACAGTTTTTGCTTTTAGAAAAGAACAAACGGTCTTGGGGCGGCTTGCACCTGCCGGCGTCGTTTCCGGAATCCAACGTTGTTGGTGCCTTTTATGAGCCCCCGGTGAATCGAGACCGCACGCCATTTCTGGCCTCGAACCCGCAATGGCCGCGTGTCTGGCAGTTCGCCGGGGAAAACGGATTGTTGGAATCGTCCTGGGTGCGGGAACGTCTGGGGTTGGCCCAAAAAGAATGGGATCGCCGACAAAAACAAAATATGATGGGGGGGACTCAAGGAGAAAAGGCGTCGAGGTCTCAACGGTGTTTGGAGGAGTTTGGCGTGCGGACAAAGCTCGGTGAACGTTGGGCCTATAAAAAGCAGCCCTTGCGATTGTCCGCCGTCCTGGCTCAGCTGCGAGGAATTCAAAAGTTGGGCGCGGACGTCGAGGGAGAATCAGTCCGTTAGCGCCTTATGCTTTTCTCGAAAAGCAGGAAACACAAGGCAAGCCAACCACTGAAGTTCAATACGGCTCATCGCTTTCTCACCACTTATAATCCTCTTTATCACTGAAGGAATAACTCCTTTCTTTATTCATTATGGCAGGTAATTTAATGAAGAGTATGGGGGGGGGGTACGATTCATAAATTTGCCAGAATTCGTTGCATTTAAAATAGAAAAAAAATAAGTCTAATGAAGAAATCGGTATATTCATAAATACTTAAAGTATTTTCACATGACTAAAAAGTCTTGATGTGGTTAATCTCTTTGTATTTTCTTCTTAACACAGCTACATCTCTGAATTTTATAGGTAGTTGTTTTAATTCATTAAAATATCACAAACAGCATCCATAAAGACTACAATTTATACTTTTTTCAAAGTATCTGTAAGGATTATTCATTACGCTATAGTTTGGGATTTCTTTCCCTCTTTCCATAAAACCGCCTTTCCGTGAAAAAAAGCAACTCTGAGAAATTGCTGATAAATTTTGGTGTGGGGATATTGATGAGAGTTGGACTTTAAATGTCTTACCAACAAACCGTATCAGAGCCGATATATGAATGAAACAATAATAATAAATGATTTCCGTTCCTCTTAGCCTTGAAGAGGTGGTCCTAATTTCCATTGGAATACTTTTGGTGGTCGTAGTGGGAAGGATGGTAGGGGAAACATGGTTCGGTGCTACTTCATTTACCATTGGGTTTATAAACGCCATCGCCTAAACCTTCGCATCGGGTTTTTCAAAAACCTCCTAAAAGGGTTTTTTTCCTCTTCTTACGATACGAACCCCTATAGTAAGCTCCATGGAATTTATTCGCTGCGCAAAGCACTTCTTTTTTTTGCCTCTGTTTCTTTCATTAGGCCTGATTTTGTATTCAACGATGGCTTTTTAATTATCATTTTATAAAATACAGAAGTATCCTATTACAGACGGGGTTTTCTTCTGGTAGCACTTTTTGGTGAATAGTTGATGATGATATTGGAAATCTTTTGGCGCTGCTATGCCTGTTAACTCTTTTATCAACGCTCGGTTGATCACCAAAGCTCTAAATGCCCTGTTGTTTATCATTCAAGGCGCTGTCATGGTATGAAACTTTGTCATTATTGATATGCCGCTATTCTTTATTATTTACAGTAAAGGACAAAGAAAATCCAGGGCAGCTGGGGAGAGTCGACTTTGCCCAATTAGACCTCCATTATCTGGCTTACCCTATCCTCTTTGATCCTGATTTCACGTGAAAAAGACTTATCAAAGATCAATGTCATTGGAGATGGCTTTGTTTCCGACAACGATCTGCCCACCATCTGAATTTGGTACCAACTTTTAAACCTCTTGATGGGGCTTCGTGCTTGGGGTATTTATCATGACGGTGGTATTTGTGGGTAATGCCATAGGCGAAGTCGATGTTGTGTTGATGTACTCAATAGTCGCTATGCCACCTGGGGTGATTATTTTCTTCAAGACGTCTATAGGCGTGAAGGCACTATGGATGGGCCATGCAATTGGTGTATCCTGTGTTGGGTTCCCCCCTTTGTACTTACCTTTCTATCACATTAAAAAAAAATGGAACACTTCGACTTCATTAAATGAGGAGTTCCATGACTTGAAAGCCACAAATGATAGACTTTCGACATGGACTCCCCTCTCCTACAGGATATGTAGCACTAGATCTTTCACGATAGCGAATTAATTGGTTCTATACCTTTCGCTTTCGCTTTCTACACCATAGAAATGAGGAATGTAAACACATCCAATGGCGAGCACCGTAGATTTGAAAGTGTAGCCTTCTCATTACATTTGCGTTTTACCTCTCAAGATATTTTGACGATGCCCCACCTATTTTACATGTCCTCAGGTGTAAATCAGACCCAAACAACAATACGGTATAATGCTGTCCAATCAACGAAGCCGAACTAAAGTTATTGTGAATTTTCTTATCTGAACTTTCATCTCTAGAAAGATATTCAGTGAAGTATCATTATCTGTTAGATTAAATATTCAGTATGGTGCATATTATTATTGTTTTCAGTAGAAAACTAAAAATTAAAGTTTTCATTTTCCTTTCTTTTTTTTGGATGTCAAAACATCCGTTCCTCATAAAAATATTTTGTCAATACTTATTCTGACAGATCTATAGCTCCATTAAAGAGTGAATGGCGATAATTAATTACTATTAAAACAAAAAGGTAAATCGAGTTTAAAAGAGATCAATTCAATTTTTTTGTGTGTGTTCCTTTTTGATTTTGACAAGTGAATATCTATCAATATGTAAACTCTACTATTCGACCATTTACTTTTCCCAAATAGTATGATTTTTGTTAAGATTGATGACATCATAATAGGACTTTTCATTTCTTCAAAAATTGCCACAAATTGATCTAAAGACCCTTTACTATCGCGTTAGCAATTGGGTAAATCGACGCTTAGACTTCTTGAGACCTAAATGACAAAGCCTAACAATAAAACCAAACACACAAACGAGCCGCATCTAGAGCCAACTTCCGAAGTGTCCAACCCCGCGGCACTGCGAGCCGCCTCGCAGGTTAATATCGTAATCCACGCGGCGAAGCGCCCCCATTCCCCCGGACCCCACCCCATTCCCCCGCGAAAGCGACTTCGCGATCCCTTTCAATCCGACGAGGCGGCGAATGCGGATGCGGAGAGGTCCCTCGACAGCGATGTAATTCCAACTGACAAGACGGCCGATTCACCTCTCGCGATGTCGGACGGGTCGACTTCGAGGGCGCGGCCGCTGAACGACCCCGACTTTTACGTCCCTTGGGACTTACGCCAGGCCAAACACGCCAAACGATTCGTGTTTTTTGACTTTTTGCGAATACCGCGGTTTTGGGAGCAGCTGGAGTTCGCCCTGCGGGTGACCCTCCTCGCCGCGGTGATTCCCGCCCTCTTCATGACGATCCCAGGCCTGCCCAATCCATTTGTCTCCTACGTCTTTGTCTTTTCCTCGATGGCCTTGGCGTCTCGGGTTTATGTGGGGGAATCGCTTTCTTACGTCTTTTCCTGGCTTCGCGCGGGGGCTTTGTGGGTCCCGTTGACGATGTTGGCGGCCGCACTCCACCTTGGGCATAACGTGGCCTGGTGGGGAGTGTACTACGCTTTACTTTTATTCGTTATCGCGCTTTTCACCGAGGACATTTCGCGTCGCATTTGTCTTTATTTGTTTAACGTGTGCATGATAACGCTGTTAATGCGTAAGACGCATGATCTCATCTACCCATGTCGAGTAATGGCGGACTGGTGTATTGGGATTGTCCTCTGCACGATCTCCACCTTTATCCCGTACCCACGATTCTGCTATAAACATGCGGAGAATTTAATCTGGCAAATTGCGAAAACTACAGGGAACACCCTTCAGGGAATCACGCATTCGTTCTGGAGCAAGTCGAACGTCACGCGAAATATGGCCATCTCCAGGGTGCGCGTCTTGGAGGAGTCCCTCAACGCGAAGCTGGTGGAGTTGGAGAGCTACCAAAGCCTCACAATGTATGAGTTCTTTGCAGAATCCTCCGAGGCCCGTCAAATACGAGCGCTGAAAATTGCCTTGTTTGAACGATTGCGCGTCAACATCAGTACCTTGTTGAGGGTTTTAACCATGGTGGAGACTAATCCAGCCGTGGTGGACGACTCCGCGCGTTCTCAAGCCTTCAAAGCGATTATCGTTCCGCACTTGGCCGCGGTTTCGTCCGCGTTCGATCAGTTAATGACCGGGATCGCCCTTGCTCGGAGTACGTCGGCGATTCGAAAACTCAAACCCTCCTTTGATTTGGTCTACAAATGCACCTCAAGACTACAAGAAGACTTCACCATGGCGCGTCGGATGTTCCTTTACGAGAGTACTTACGATACAATGGAGACCTTCTTCCCACTCATGGCTGTTTATCTCTTCACGTTGGTATCGTTTAGTGAGGCAGTGGGTGTTTTTCAGAGCGATATGGACGAACTCCATACCTGCCTTGGGGAGTTGTTTATGACATTGTTTCGCACAACCACCTATAAACCCTTTTGTAAAAATCTAATCTTTATAAAAACGCTTTTTTTGACGGGGAATCGGCGAGAGGTCCAGCGCGTTATTGAAGCGGCGAAGGTAAGTGGTGCGATGGTCCTGACCCTCGGCCTTACCTATTTCATGGATATTCATCAATCCCACTTTACCGGGCCCAATATTATTGCCTTTGTTTCGGGAATGAACCCGGTGGAATCTCTTCAGGCCTCGATTGTGCGGCTCACAGGTTGCCTCATCGGTAGTGTTTTGGGCTTCCTTGCAGGGGCCTACTCGGATACGGAGGCGGAACGTGTTTCTTTATTATGCCTTCTCATCTTTTTCTTCACCTTTTTCCGAAACGACAAGGACTATGGCATCATGTCGGTCTATGCGATGTTTGTGATCATCCCACTGAACGCCATCAATCGACCGACCGTGAAAGAAACCATGGATCGTATGAACCAAAATACGATCGGTATTTTTATCTATCTATTGATCAGCATTTTGATACTTCCCTTGTCCCCAAGTGTGATCCTACGCGCAAAGCGAGTCAATATTCTCAAACGAATCAACGAAGCCCTGAGCAGCATTCTCGATTTATTTTACGATCCGTTCATTGGTGTGTTAGCAGATAGCAATTCTAACACGCAACCCACGCACAAAATTGTGAATATTGACGATCACAATGATGCTAAAGCGCATAACAGCATGAACTCACCTTCTCCTTACTACTCCTTACGCACAATGCGGATTCCCGATGATCATCTATCCAAAATTACCACCATTCTAAATGATATCCATCATCGTATTAAGGCCTCTAAGCCATACGTGAACTTTTCAAAAGAGGAACGTGGCCTTGTCGAGGTTGATTACCCCGTGCGAGCATGCGCCGAAACCTATGAGCATATGCGGATTATGCTTCTTTTGCTCCGGGCTATGTGGATGAGCTGGCGATTGTTCCGTCGACAACGTTTATACACTAAAGAGATGCGCCGGTTGATGGTCCATCTTCAGCCGGTTGTGGCTCGTATCTCCAACTCCTTCAGTAGTATTATGAATCTCATCATCTACAGCATTCAGAACCCCACGACAAACCTCGAAGGGGAGATTATGAAATCCGTGTTGAACCTTCTGAAGTCCTGCAAGGAACTTCAGGCCCGAATGAACGAGATGTTAGTTTTATTAATCGCGGAGTCTGTCGAGCGATTCCGTGATCCCGCTACCGAGGGGGAACCACCCAAAAGGCTTTTCAAGAATGGGGCCTCTTCAACCCATCCGGACACCACTTTCGGTTCAACGACCGCAAACATTTCGAAAGGGGCTGGCGATTTTGCGCACACCGCCGTGGCCTTACAGTTTCCAAAAGCTGAGATCGATAGAAAACACGCCTTGAGTCGTCATAGACTACACCATTTGTCTCTTCCGTTTTCGAAATTCTACAGCAACGGATCGGATACCAACCAAACAAACGCAAGGTCCTCGCGATATGATATGGCAGATGAGAGTAGTATTGAGGTTATAAGGAAGGGTACGCTCAATAAAAAACAGCGTGAGGGGCACCATGTTCTGGTGCCCCTCCTGGAGAACTTCGAGTTTCCAATATCGTCTGAAGACTCCGAGTCTTTGCATTCTTTTGCGCTTTCCTTGCTTATGTTTGCAAATGAAACGAAGATGCTGATGACAAGTATTCAGGTAATGACGGACCATGCGTGTTCGAAAAAATAACGATACAACGATATCTGTACATGTAAGCAATTCAATACTAAATACAACTACCGAAGCATAAAAATTCAAAGGGGTAATCTTAAAATATATATATATATTGCAATGTCTAACCTTTTACTTTTAATTACTTTAAATATTGTTTTTGTGTTTTATGTTTAAGGACAAGTCAGGGGAAGAAATAGAAAAGTATCACCGATTGAAAAAACGCGTGTGGCTGAATTTGTCTCTATACTAGTGAAAGTCTTCTTCAAAGTAGCAACTTCCACCAGTACCACACACGTGTGTGACTTTAAGATTCTGATGACTTTCAAACCATTGAACTAACCCTTTGATTTATTATTTAGCGTGTTTTTTTTTATAAGTCTTCGGTTTTATGCCTAAACCTTTCCTTTAGGAATCATTTGCTATGTTATCTTAAAGTTTTAATCTGAAAGAAATCATCTAATTGTAGATAAATTCAAATTTGCTGATAAGTTATCCTACAAACTTACCTTTTTTTTTCCTGATATTTCTAAAACTCCCAAGTGGGATTCTGATACATTGCAGAGGACGCTAAGTGCATACAAGCTATGCATTTTCACTATAAACGCCTTCACAATGATGAATTGGTATTCTCGGAATGTTTCCCGCCATGAACCCGTTACTTGTGTGTGTGTGTGTGTGTGTGTACTTAATATAGCCTCCTCTCTCTTTCCTTTTTTTTTCGGAGGTCTCCTGTCCAAAGCCTACCTTCTATATCAACGACACAGTAGATACCACAGCCCCCCTCCTCCCTCTCTCCTCCCGCCCCATGTCCCCCGCCCACCCCGAATCCCCTTCGGCCGACCCCTACTGCGGTGTCGGGGTCCTGCAGAACCTCTCCATCGTTTCCCACACGACGGCCTTCGGGAGCGGCGCGTTCGGCGTGGACCCGAACCTGAGCAGCGTCGCCGAGACCGCGCAGTCCTTCACCGACCGCGCGCGGTCGGAGCTGCCGGGGGCGGCGTTCGCCCCCAAAGGCCCGTCAGCCCGGAAGGCCCCCGCGGCCGAGCCCCCGGCCCCCGCCAAGGACGTGACCCACCTGGAGTTGGTGCGCAGCTTCGTCGTGACGGGCTTCCCCCTCACTCTGGCCTCGATGGCGCAGTTCTCCATCAACTTGGTCACCATCGCGATCATCGGCAAGCTGCTCGGGGTGGACGAGATGGGCGGCGCCACCCTGGCGCTGAGCTTGGTCAACGCGACGGGCTTCGCCGTCGGGACGGGCCTCTGCGGGGCCCTCGAGACAGTGCTCTCGCACGCCTACGGGGATTGGGAGAAGCAGCAGCAGCTGACGGCCAAGGGCGACGCGAGCTCAAGCGCCCCTTCGGACACCGAACCCGATGCCATGCGGGGCGACAAGGGGAAGGAGGCTTTGCGACTCTACATCTATGGCACCTACGCGCAGCGTATGACCTTGATCTTGCTTCTGGCGGCCTTTCCTCTCGGGATTATCCTGTGTTTTGTTGATCGTGTTCTTCAGCTTTTCGAGGATAGCCCGTCTACGCTTTACTACATGGCCTCCTGGTGTACTATTGTCATCTTTGGGCTGCCGGTGACGTTGCTGATTCCTCTTATCCAGCGGTACTACTCCTGCCAACGTGTAACCAAACCGTTGTTGGTGGCCCTGTTTCTGGCGGCGGCTGTGAATCCTGGTTTACAGGTCGGTTTTATAAAGCTTATGGGTTACAAAGGTTCGACGGTGGCATGGATGCTGCTCATGTTGGGTCTTCTACTCGGTATTATTCTTCATATTCGATGGACTGGGTTGTACCGTCTGACATGGGGGGGGTGGAATCAACAGAGCATACAGAACTTGGGGCCTCTTACAAGACTTGCACTTCCCTCATTAGGCATGATGATGTGTGAGTGGGTGGCAGTGGAAGTAGTCGCCCTTATCGCTGGTTCTGCGCCAAGTAATGATTTGGCCGCTTTTTCAATTTCTCTGAACATTTTTGGACTTCTGTGGGGTGTCACTTCAGGGGTGATTATCATTACGTCTGTATTTGTAGGAAACGCGATTGGGGGACGAAAACCACTCTTTGCACGCCGTATTGCCTTAATTTCCATTGTCTTGGTCTTTTGCATCTCATGCATTGACGTTTTGCTTATATTACTGTTGAATCCATATATTCCCTCTTTTTTTACGAACGAACCCAAAGTGGTTGTGATCTACCAAAAAATTATGCGCAGCGCCCTTCCTTACCATATTGTAGATACTCTTCAAAGTACTATGATGGCGATTTTGAGAGGATGTGGGCTGCAATCGCTCGGTGCGATTATCATTTCTATTGCTTTGTGTGTTGTAGGTGTTCCACTCAGTTGTATACTTTTTTTTCACTTTAAACTTGGTGTTGTGTCCCTTTGGGTAGGTCTTTTAATCGGCGTTGGTGGCGTGGGGGTGCCACTGTACCTGTATGTTATATTTAGATACATCGATTGGAAAAGTTTGAAGCCCCATAATGACGACTCAATCCATCTTTAAGTGATAAAAAAAGAATTAATTAATCGTATAAAACTGAAATGGAGTCTGTCTTTGCAGATAATATAGACACCAAATACAGAGCCAAGAGGTATGAAATATTTTTCTAATAAAAATAACAGGAAGTATTCATATATATTTATATATAGATATATATATAGAGAGAGAGAGAAAGAGAGAGAGAGAAAGAAAGAAAGAGATAAATACATGTATATATGGATCGCTATCCTAGGTATACTTTTGGCAGAATATAATATTTGTCTTTCATAAGTTGAATTTTCAATATTTTATTTACCCCAACCTTTGTATGATTCGACTTGTGATAAAGGTGCCTGTGTGCTTAGACAAAGAGAAATAGTATTGAAAGCGGCAAAAAGGTTTAATTTTTTTTTGCATCATTCACATTTTGTATAATATTAACTAACAATCATAATTTTTCATTAACCCTTTTTGTAATATTTTGTTGAGTTAAAAATCGTGAATAAACTATTTACCTACTATTTATATCCGAGGTGAAATATGCAATCGAGACAATTGCTTATCCTTTAGCGAACGGAATGCAAGCAAATGTTCTGAACATGATAATTCATTTATTCTGTTCATGTTGTATTACAGAATTAAATGAAATCTGTACCTTATGTTCATGGAATGCTCAACCCAGTAACAACGTTTAACCATCCAACTGCTGATAGAACTGTGTAAAGTGGGCAAATAACAAAACAAGGATCGAGGCTGTTAACGTTGACAAGATGCTAAGCTTAAGTTTGCGCAACTGAAACTTCCGTTGTAACACAGAATACTAATTAGACCATTGGGGCATGTTGAATTACTTAACAATCGTTCATTTCCATCAATAATTTAGATATCTTTTCTAGAAATATCTAAATGTAGGTACTAGTACTATTCTTAATTTTTATTTTTATTATATTTTTGATGAAAATGAATTTTGCTACATACACTTCAAATTTCTCAAATTTATTGATTACTTGGTATAATGGGAAACAAGTCGATTATACAGACATACAGCATAATAGAACAAGTTTGTTTTTTCTTAACATTAAAAATTGTTCTATCTTTTATTATTATTATTACTATTGCTTTAAACTGAGCAGCTAAATGAAAACATCGAAAGTCAAGCTATCAGTTATTGTGTTTTTCTACAATTTCTTCTCGAGTTTAATATCATTTTCTTTAAACACATGGCGAAGTTTTAATGATTTGTTTATTTTTTTTCACAGTTCGAATTGAAGCCCTTATTTGCCATTTTTCTCTAAATAAGAGTTGCAAGGTTATTATAACTATTTCCCCCCTTTACGTGCCCACGCACACAAACGCTCACTGTGTTCAGGTTCATGTCTCTTTCCTGTTCTGAAACATACCGCAATCTCCAGAAAGATGATGATTGCTTTAACCTTCGCTTGCAAGAAATCAGCCGTGAAATAGAGGTTATTTTGGTGAAAACAGCCCAGCAACGAGAAGATTTGCTTGGTCGGTCTCAGGCCTCACCATTGCGGCACGTTATCGAAGGTAATCTGCAGGACATCTCTGGCCCGGCTGTAGCTATTCCAGAAATGATTCCATCCAATCTATTTAACGAAGGTGTGGCTGTCAAACAACAACAAAAACAGTTTACCGAAAATCAGCTACTTGCTCTTTTAGAACCCTTGGTTGAGACGAAAGTCCATCAGATCCTACAGGGGTTTATAGGGAAGGTGGAACGCACTCAAAACCAACAGGAAGAAACCGAAAACAGCATGATCGCGCTTTCCGAAGATTACCGGGAACAGCGCAGGATGATGCAAAACAGCCTAACCTTATTCAAACACCAAACTTCCCGACTTCAACATTTTGAAACCGATTTCAAAGACCATGAACAGCGTTGTCAAGAACGATTAACCCTTATTAACGACTCATTAGGGGCTCTCAACGAAAAGTCGCAGCTCAGTGAACAGCGGGCCGTACGTCGTCTCGACGAACTGGTAAAGAACCATCACGAAACCGTTCTTCACTCTCTGACAGATATGGAAACTCATGTCCATCAATGGAAAGGCGATGTTGAAAGTTTAGTCTATCGACAAGTATCCGATTGGCGATTATGGAGTGATGAGCTCGAGGCGCATGTCGCCCGCTTGCAAGGGGTCCTTGGTAGTGTTGCCGAGACGGTCAATAAACACACGGTCGATCTACGTAATTTGATGGAAACAGTACTGGAAAAACATAGTGAAATACGCTCATGCCGACGCGATGTGAACCGTCTTGAAATGCTGATTCACTGTGGCGGCAATCTTTTATATACAGGGAAAGACCGCGAAATCGCCGCCGTCGAGGGTTATTTTGACCGCATTCCACTCATTGATGGAGTCAAAGGCTCCGAGCCAAGTTCGATGGTCTCGTTTCGGGAACTTAGTCATGTCAAGGATCAAGTCAATTTCCTTTCTTGCCGAATTGAGGACTTGGAAAGGTGTTTTGGGAAACTGGGTTCAGCACATATAAAGGTTGACAGCAATTTTAACGGTGGTGGAATGAACAGCGACAGGGCAACGTTGCGACGGCTCGATCATGCCGAGCTTCTCAACCGCTCAAACCATCACGATTCCGCCGCAGAGCGGATGTCCAATTCAGTGCCTTTTCGCTCCATGCCATCAATGTCGAGTATGGTATCTCCTTCCGAGCGTCAAGCGAAGGGAATCAAAACAATGACCAACAATGCCACTGCTCGACTTTTACCTCAAGATAAGCAAACCAGGCGAAAAACTAAACATTATGAAAAAAATTATGCTTTTTCATCTTCTCAGCCTTACGAACAAACACCCCTTACAAGTGTTAATACTTCCACTCTATCACATTCGGAGAGACAGCTAACTCACTTTAATGTGAGGGAGCATGGTGGTATCCCTCGTAATTCAACACCTGAAAATCCCGTTGAGTGTGTTGGGGAGATTGAAGCGGGGATACGGAATTATCGTAAAAACAAACCATATGTACATGACAAACTATATCCTCTGCAGTGCTCGTCTGCGACACCTCTTCAAGCCCCATCAGATGAAGCACGTGTGGATGAGAGAGAAGATCCAAATATTCCAGACACTATCAACAAACAGGAAGGCTCTTCTTTATTTTTAGCACCTATGCACAAAAATACGCCTTTTCCAGAATATAATCAAGTGGCTCAGAATCGGCGACACGCTGCGGACGACGATGTCGACACTGAGGAAGTGAATTCCTATCAAAGTAGAACAGAGTCTCCTATGTATCACAAATATTTTGACAAAGAAATACACGACAACGGACGTATTCCACCAATACATCAAGACCAGTACCTGCCAGCCCCTGTAAGTGATTCAGAAAGTGAGCGAATTAATTATAAACTCTCCAGATTGGCGATTGACTAAGCTCTGGAAGGAAATGTGCAAAAAATAGCTTGTTTGAATTATATTAAGAATGATTGCTTTTGAATTCCCATACATCGTTAGAAATCAATATGGTTTAAAATAACGACAATTTCCTTATTTCGCTTTGATTTTATGCTTTTCTTCGGGTAGTGAGTGTAGTGTCTATAAAGGAAAGGAAAACAAATACCAATAAATCTTGAGAACTGATCATGTCTACTTTAATCCTTCCATCCTCTCAGGGTGCATTTTCCAGAACACGCAATACCAAAGATGCCTCTGGGACGACCCCATTTGTGTGTGAAGTACGCAGCGTCAAAATACCACACCATCGTTTCCCACCCCTTAGGAAGATGTGGATGGAAGTATACACTCCGATTGTCGAGCATTGTAGACTGGAAATTCGAATGAATCTTAAAACACGGTGCGTTGATTTGCGAACATCATCATTAACTGCGGGAGGGGATGATTCTCCAAACGCTGCCAACGTTAAAGTTCTTCTCCAAAAAGCGGAAGACTTTGTAAAGGCGGTGGTTTCCGGTTTCGACGTGAAGGATGCGGTTGCGTTGCTGCGTATCGACGATATCTACATAGAAGGATTTGAGATTAAAGATGTACGGGCGAACTTACAAGGGGATAACTTATCGCGTTGTATTGGCCGGCTGAACGGCTCACACGGCAAAACAAAATACACCATAGAGAACGTCACCCGCACCCGCATCGTGATCGCGGATACTAAAATATCAATTATGGGGACAACACAGAATATTCGAGTTGCGCGCGATGCGCTTTGTGATTTAATTCGCGGTAGTCCAGCCGCTAAGGTCTACACACGTATTCGTTCTGTTATGAATCGTGTGAATAATACATTTTAAAGTTTTATCATCCGTTGGTATCTTCTGAAACGCCTTCTTCAGGCAACTTGAGTCCATTTTTCTATGCTAAGTATACCAATATTTAAATCTCCGACTCCAATGATAAAACGGTAAACGATATAAGGATAGGGAGAGAATTAATTGCAGTAAATATATACCAAATGACGACATATAATCCATATGGGAGTTTCTTTGATATGAGCGGCTTTTTCTTTCATTCCTCAATGTGGAAACTCATGAAATATATTACGGTGAACACACTAAGTGGACAACTTTTCCACTCTTACTTTACCTACTTTTTTTCTTTGAAAGACTGACCCTATAAGGTAGGCTTAGATTCCATTTTATCGCACTGCTTCGTTTAAAAGAGTCTCTTTATTTTATTTCGATTCTATGAATCCTCCAGATCAAATTTCTAGACGACGCTTTTAATAACGAGGTTTATTACTGTTGGGACTATACATACACTCATATACATATATATATATATATAGATTGCGGTGAATCCAGGATAAAAAATACTAGCTTCGCTAAAAAACATGGAAAAGTCATTCTCGGACGCGACACTGGTGAGTAAGTACGTTTGGCAACACGAATTGCAGGTTCTTGTCAATCAACTTGGCATAGCTGCGGGTCAACTTGATGAAAATATAATGCTTTTACGATCCGATCAACTTTACAGCAACGGACGCAAGGTTCAACTGAATAGTGGTTGCATTCAAAGCAACAAGCTCGCATCGACCCTTCTATTTCACATTGCCGCGACGGCAAAAATGCCGAGAAAAGCTGACAAGTCCTTGTTTGTACGTTACCTCGACCCGGCATCCATCCCCGAAACGACAAAGACGCAGAGCGGAGGGATGTGGAAAAGTCATCTGGGTGAACTCGCCTTTGCGGTTTTGGAATCCGATGTCTCGCCCAAAGATTCTTGGCTGCTTCGCGAAGTGGTGCGTGTGGTGGCGCTTCGCTGCCGCAACCTACTTCTGGGGGAAAATATTCTCTCCGTGGAGGGAACTTTGCATTGGGTTGAGCACGTTCAGACCAGCCCACGCCTCGGGACCGCACTCGCCTTCACCGTTGTGATTGCCTGGAGAAGCATTGCGTCTGTCGGAGTCGCCTACGCGTCGAAGCGGGTCAAGCATCCTCATGTGTCCTCTCTGGCCGAGACCAATTCTCCACATAATCATCTGGCAGCGGCTCGAGACTTTGGCTGCACTGATGAAATCCTTTTTTTTCGCGTCTTATGTTCTCCTTCCAAGTCAAACCTCCTGTCGAACTTTTTAGGCAACTCCACATGTAATCTTGTAAATAAAGATACCACAGATGATGTGGAGGCTTTTCTTGATCCTGAATTGCTCAAGGAATTTGCGCTCGTTATTTTGAAAAGTCATTGCCAGGACCTGCCGCTGGACATATGGAATGATTTTTTGAGTACTGCCCAATTTACAACTCATCTTTTAGCTGAGATTAAAAGTCAACAAACTAAATCTCAGGGAAATTTCTCAAATCTTCTGACAACGCTTACACAAGAAGCTATTGTACTTCGTAGCCTGTTGTTATTTTCAACAGGTCAAAATTGTGTTTGGGCGCTGACGTTTCTTTCTACGAGTCTTCCGCATACGGTGGATAATCTCAATACGTGGAGTGTAGAGAACGTTCCCGAAGATGTTTGTCTTGATGTACACAACATCTTTGATAGTTTGAAAGCTTTAGTTGATGAAAGCGAGGTAAAAAATAATGAATATATTTTGTTTTCGGCACTTGTTCTGTCTGATAGGTATGTATTGTGGTTGTTGCAGCCATATATAACTATGTGGTCCTGCTACTGCACTTTGACTGAACGAAAAAATTGACTAGAGACTATAACATACGACAGTGAGCTAGGCAGAAGGAAAATGATAAAAAATAGCAATTGAGAAAGTATCACTGTGCTTCATTTTCTTTCTTACCTGCCGTTTGCAGGTTGAAAATAGGTACTAAAATTTTATTACACATGGTTATCTGCATTTTTTGCTATTAGGTAAATCCATAAACTCTAATTAATTTACTGGGGTTGATGTAGAATGTCTTTTCCCCCTCCTCCCCCCCCTTCCACACATACGAACAAATTATTGTATATAAAAGTAATATCAATTTATCACAAAAGGGAGTCAATTAACGAAACAAGCTATCACGACAAGGACTCGGTCGTAGCGCGAACATGCGCATCATTATTAAGGATACTATTATAGAAAGGAAATAATTATTGAAAAGCAAATATTCAAAATATTAATGTAGTACCTTGTTATCCATAAATCGATTCTAGATCCAAATTAAAGTTCAACGAATGACTGAATCACAGAATTTTTTATACACGCGACACTCATGAAGCTCCATCTCTCTCAAACCTCAACTCCCCTAAAACTGAAAGCAACATTAATTCTGACAAATGTGGTACGATTTCATTGCGTATATCATCTAATGTGGATAACGCTGAGCACAAAATCTCGAACATAATAATACGGTTTTAGTGGAAGATGAAACCTCTAATAGCAACACCTGGAACACTCAAAAATCAAGCATTGATATCATGCAATCCAAGGATGAGTACAGTCAGATTAATATCCCTACATCGACCAAACATATGGAAAAAATAAAACCAACAATTTCTTTTATAAACGGAAAAGGTACTGTATTCAATGTTGTTTCTCAAATAGAAAGAGAAATACGTTTAATTGCTCATGTTTGAATCGGTTTAGATGGGCATGCACAGTTATTGTTTAGCCAACACCTAGACTAATACGTTGAGTTGACCCATGGGATCTTGTCGACAGGTCATATGTTGTCCACCGAGTTTGGCCTCATTGTCATCGCAAATAAGGACAATTCAAGCCTTCTCCTCCCCCCCCACACACACATACACACACAACAAAAGATTCTTCTTCAAAAAAGCCAATCATGTGTTGCGATACGGCAACGACTTTGCCGACTCCATTGACCAAGGTGTTGTCTAGGATAAATACACATAGTACATACACTCCAGTGTGGGACCATTTTAAAATCAGCTGCCGCTCACTATTTGAACTTTGGGGCTTCAAACCCTTCCTCATGCCTTGACAAAACGCATTATAGAAGACTAAACGCACTCTTGTCCTAGATTTGGATGGAACATTAATGAGCACCTCCATCGAATACATCGTCGACGCTAATGTAGTTCTCATTGTTTGGAAGGTACCCAACAAGATCATGGTCACAGTAGTTGAGCAAAGCTTTATGTAAAAAAGTGTCAGTTGGGGGCGAAATTATAAATACTGTGAAACGACCCAAGTCATCTTCAGTGTTTTAGATAAAGTACAGACCCGATCTTAAGGCATTTTTTGACTTTGGTTTGGAGTATTTTGAGGTTTTCATCCTCACTGCTAGTAAAAATATTACGTTATAGCCGTACTTTGGCAGTTCCGGAATTATTTTAACATTTAGGTAGCTTTGCCTGAAGATCCTTTGTCCGATAGCTATGTACGGACAAGGTGTATTATTACCCTTCTTTATCGAGATCACGGCACCCCCACAAATGCCAGATCTACCAAGGATCACTTTATTCTTAGCTGTAATCTACATGCGACTGTTCTGGTGGATAACATTGTCATGTGTGGTTCTTTTCAGTCTTTTAATATTATTCTCGTGAAAGACTTTGTGTAACGTCACTCAACCTACTCAAAGGCTAAAATATCTGATGGTATATGCCGCTTGGACTCATACTCTTCAACCTTGGTAGGCGCTGCAATTTGCACACCATCTCTAGCCTCAAAGCTGAATCTTAGAAGTGATAGGCTGATGCTCGATAATGGTCCCGATGGATTAAAATTCAATCGCCCAACCGTTCTTTGGGATCAGTTCAATGACAATGGGCTCTGCGATTTAACCGCTCCTGTGTGTGTATGAAAGAGAGGTTGTAACGCATGGTCTACCGTGGCGATATACCACACTTTTCTTCTCAAACCATGCTGCGCAGCATGAATGTAACAGGAGATGAAGGAAAGTATTTCAATTAAATAAATGATAAACAGTGTGTAAATTTTTTCTCGTGTCTGTATTACTTTTTCATCGTAAAGTTCAAAAGTGGCAAAAAAATGTCTCTTCGGAATTTGAAGTGAGACTCTGTAATTAATAATATAGTATTTTAAAAATTATACTTTATCTGGACAACTTTTGGAGGAGTTTTCATCAGGAAAATAAATTCAAGGTTTTGCTGAATTAAACAAAAGCGAAAGTCATTTATATTTTCTTTTCCTTAATACATGGGGGTCCTTTCACAAAAGTGTGAGAAATGCACTTTTTGTTACATACTCCTGAGATGATTAGGCTCATGAAATTAAAGCATGCATTATTTGCCGCAACTTTAATGCATGGTGAATTGGAATTATATATATATATATCGATACTCTTTTATTAACATCTAATTATAAAGGAGTTCTGAAATGCTAACAAGTCTGTGCAAAATGTGCTATATACAGAGACTACATTATAGTAAAGATTCTTTAATAGAAAGAAGCACATGTAAAACGCTCAGGTTTAATTTAGGGATTGCGTTTTTTCGTGTATGATTCTTTGCTGTTGTTGTCCTTTATCGTTGTTTTTACTTTTTTTTTGTCTTTTCGACTTTATATCAATCTTCGCATCTATTCGTAATTTGGGAAGAACTCTTTTCCTATTTATTATCATTCGTATTTAAAATTGAAAAGATTTCTTAATATCTATAAATATAATGTTACCTTTTTCTTTTATGCTTTTTTATACCCAGGTTTTGTCACAATAACAAACCTTTGTGTTTTTCTAGAACCCACCACCTTCTTTTTGTTACTAAAAGTCTTGAAAAAAGGTGACTGTCTCTTATGCGTCATTTTTCTAGAGATTAAGAAGGCCCACATTCGAAACTTGTGCTTTCCCCAAGATTCACTAGTCTGTCCTCTTTATTAATATTATTATTATTATTACCATTAGCTATTTCCTGAAGACTAAGATAATATCATGTCCTCATTTTCTCTAATTTTGAAACCATATATCTTATTAAAATTGCTTATTATATTAATTCATTTTTTTTTATGTATAAAAAACTGTAAAAAATACTGGACATAGCTTCCTTCCCAGAAAAATGTTTTTAAATTTTAGTGTAGGTACCAAATAATGTTTCCAATACGTTTTGCATACTCCTTTCATTTTAAAGAATGTATATATGTTTTAAACTATGTATAATTATGAAATTTATGGAAAAATAACGCAAAGGTAAATAAAGAGGGAATCATTTGTAAAAAAAATGTTGGGCGTATTGTGTTTTTATCAAAACTTCAAATGAAAAAATTTATATTGCTACTTTTACTAACATCTTCATGCTTTTTTTCTGAGCTTATTACCATTAAATGATGACAACAGAGTCTGGAAAAGAAATGATTTTACAGGCCTCCAATTATTAATATGTTTTTTTTTACTATTGGTATTACTTTATTTTTTACTTTCCTTTTTATTGATTCTCTAAAGTCTAAGTTATCTTTTATTATTCCTTTTTTAGCTTGCACTTTTTTTTTATCCCTTGACAACTAGACATGTACGTACCTATGTGTATACTGAAACTTATATATTATATATAGTCCGCACTCTGCTCTTGACTGGATGCAAATATATATATATATATATATAGAGAGAGAGAGAGAGAGAGAAATATAACAATTACGCATAACAATGAAAATAGAACGTGTGGAAAAAAATCATTCCTTCTTGCCTTCTATATTATTGATATTAATATACTTTACGAAGAATATCAATTTATTTCCCTATAAAGCATCTTTTTTTTTTTCAAATCATCGATCCTTATATGTACTTAGTACTTTTGATCCAATATATTCAATATTTTCATCCCGTATATTACGTTTTAATACGTTTCATGTGTTTACTACACATAAATACTTTATTATTTAGAATTATAGCTTATTTTTTATATTCCATCAGCACTTTGCATTTGTTATCCTCAGACAAGTTGTTGATACTTCCAATTTTGTTCTCGTGAAGTTTCTTTTCCACACTTCCCCCTATTTTATTATTCCCATTTGTGCCTATGTGTATTAACTTCTTTTAAACTTTGGAATTTATGATACCTTATTTTTGAAAAAATTCCCATTGTGTGGAATCATTGTTAATATTATTGCGATTTTTGTATTTTCATTTTGATTACTTATCCCTTTGACACTATTTCCATATATCTTTCGATTATTAGTTTTCGTTGTTTGGATCAGGCACTAAAAATTGTACCATTGTTAATAAAAAAGTATATTTATATGGAAAGGAATTAAATATAATCTGAATAATGGATTTAGAGAGTATAAAAATATTGCTCAGGCTTTGAATAACACCGAATTTTTTTGTGTTTATTAATCCCATTTATAGACTCATAAATAGAGTGTTTTCATTAGTTAGTATCCTCTCTGAAAACTAAGATCAGTCCGCATAATGAAGAAGAACTAATTTAAATATTGTGTTCTCCTCCTAAAAACATCGAGGACTGAGTAAGATTCACACATGTACACTGACTATAAACACCACTGAGAACGCACTCTTTCTCGAACAATTCCTACAAAACTCGTTACAAGGGGAATAAAAGTTTCATTCCTATAAACTGGTGTCATTTATTGCGTTCTCTGGATGAAAAATATTTTATCGTCAATATTTTACTAAAAATAATAGTTTCTGATAAATATAATATTATTTTTAGAGAACAAGTAACAAAATCTTACATTATTTTCTGAATTTTATCTGCTTGTCCCCTTTTTTCATAACTGCAATAAAAAGGGATATTTAACGTAAAAAAAAAGGTGTAAACAAA